CGACGTTTCCAGCTGGTGAATTAGGCTTGGGTTAAACAGTCTCTCCGTATTGCAGTAGCCTCCTCCTCTTGTTGTTATCCGGCGCAATCGTTCGTTCGAAAATGGGATTTCCTCGGCCGTCAGCAGTGCAACAGAGAAAACAACAAATAGATATGAGATTTATTTTCTGTGAGACTTACTCTGGCTTTCTTCAAAGTTGCAACCAAACGTCGGCCGTCCATGCTGAAGATGACCTGCCATTCCCATTCATCCATAGGATTCATGAGGATAGGTTTCCAATCTGCCGGAGACGGGTCGGCTGAGTGAGTTGGATTAAGACCCGGTTTATAGTGCGACCTATTTGATTCGAATAATTAAAGCAACTAACCTGTTGACGGTCGAGCTTGGAATTCTCTCTTGAATACCATATGAATCCAATGAGGAGAGAAGTCAGCGCTGTACCTTCAGTTAACACTCTTGATAATCGGAGCTTTACTCGCTGTCGTTCGATCGATCGTTTTCAAACTTGACGCCCGATTGGACTAAAGCGCGCTCTCCCATTGTGTGTCGGCCAGGATTGGAATTTAGCCTCCTGTTTACATGGATACAATGAGGGAAGAGAAAGTCAGTGCACTGCGCCTTCCAATAAGTACATTCGCTAATAGGACTTAACCCGTGAATAGTAAGTATGCGATCGAGCGATTTGCACTGAGGCTGTAAATAGCGCCATTGAGTGTTTTGGTACCGTAGTGGAATAATGAGAGAAAGCCTGTCAAGTGAAGTCTGTTTGAATTCTTGACTGTGAAAAAAGAGTACTCTCCAAAGCATTAAAGGTTCGGGTGTGGTCCAAAAGGTTGAGGTTATTGTGAGGCTTCGGTTGAACGTTATCTGTCGGTTTGCGCAGGGCGACACTGTCTGTGTTCTAATCTGTACCCAATGACTGTCTTATGTTTAATAAGACGGTCTTATTTTCTATCAGACAGCCGTCTTTAGACAGAGTCATCGTCTGATACTTTAAGACAGTTGTTCATGTTGTAAATTTTAACAAAACTATTTACAGCTTTTTTCCAAGAATCAATCTTTTACCCCAAGGTGCTGGTAGATTCTCTACATACGCGGAAGCCAGAGATACAAGTACACGTAGTGAAGCTTCGCGCGAAAAGGGCGCATGCACCTCTGCTGCAGCCCCGATTCCTCACTTTTGTTCTTTTCTTGGATCGATCGATCTTTGTGAAGAAGCAGTTTCCTTTGTGAAGAAGCAGTGTCGATCAATCCAAGAAAAGACGAATACCGCTAGCTAGTATCAGTAGTAGACGTTTTGCCTCTTTTTGAAAAACAACGGCAAAGGTGACACACAGTTGCCATCGTCGCTGTTGAAAAAGCATCTTGCTGTTTTGGTTTTCCCCAGTTTCCCCAAACCAGGCAGGAAGAAGAGGTAATCACGTTTCGAAATTCCCCACAATCCCACCCCAGGGAGTTGAGGTAATTTTAAAAACAAGCAGCAAAGCTGGTAATTGAAGCTTGCCCTAGTGCAGCTCTTAGCTACTAGTACCTGGCCACACTTGTCACGCTCACTGCACCCAATCCAATCCAGCCAAACTCGCCCCCAAGCAACCTCAAGACAGCAGTGGACATTTGGAGCTCTCCCCAAGTATCCTCCAAGACCAACTGAAACTTCGTTTGTCAGTTGCGGTGGTGGTTCCAAGTTTGTGACTTGCATTCGCGGCGTTTGCGTTTACAACCGGCCAGGCCGTCGCGAAAGCTCTCGCGAATTTTTTTTTTAGACGATCATTATGTCAGACTTTGACGACAAGAAGCCGGCGGCAAAAAGCCACCCCAACGCTGTTGATATAGCTGCAGAGGAGGATTCTACTCAGGAAGAAGATAACAATACTAGCGCACAAGACCAGCTGCAACAGCTCCAACAACAACAACAGCAGCAACAACAGCAATCACATGTCCAACCACAACAGTATCACGACCAGCAACACCAAGTTCAACCAGCGCTCCAGCAACAGCAAGTTCAAGGACCAACCAGCCCACCTCACACAGCACCCACTCACCAAACTGGATCCATTGCAACTTGGTGCAATAGTGAGGCGTATGTTTCTCAGGATGAAGACAACATGGCAAGTATTGATCAAGATATGATCATGGACATGCTTCGAACCACATACACCATTGGACATGCAGATGGTGATGTACGTCACCAGTTGGCACAAGGGTATGACATCTCCCCACCCGATCCTGGGTTCTTCCTGGCGCGCACCACTAACCACCAGCTGATTATTTTATATGGAATCAAAGTTTGCACACAAGTGGGCTCTGCATGGTGCCAACAAACAGTTGGTTTTGCCGGCGACATCCCTACAAACAGCCAGCTTCCAGCAACTTGGTCTACTAAACATCTCAACACTATGGCAAAGATGGTGCAGGTGTCTGCAGTGGTCAATCTTACCAAGCTACGAGCAAGTGTCAAGGCAAATCCACAGCAGCCTACTCTAGTACCCACCTTCCCAACGAACAAAACTCCTCAGAAACTACCTGTGGTGTCTATGGTGAAAATCCCAGCCCCACTCCTCGCCCGAGCTTTGGCAGCTGGAGACCCACAGACCGCTCCTTTGCCGTTTTTATTAGTAATTGCGGAGTTTCTGCATCAACACTCCAAAACCGAAAGCAAACTGCCAAGCACAGGTTTCAATACTCCCAAGACAATGCAAGTGTTGAAGAATTCCCTGTTCGCCTTGGCAAGCTCCATTACAGGGCGAAAAGACAATGTCATCACTGATACTGGGGTAGCTGAGATGGAACTTGCCCTTGACACTCTGTCTCACCAACCACCTGATCATAAGAGTACACTCTGGGTACAACGCAACTTTCAGACAATCCAACCACTGGCAGCAACCCTGAAAGCCCCCCCTCCTACTACTACCCACCATGTGTCATTTGCAGCCAATTCTGCCCCTACAGGACTTCCTGCACAAGCCCCTGGTGTACATAGCACCATTAATCATGCAATTTCTGGATTCTCTGGGCCAGGACTCCCTCCTGCACAAGCCCCTGGTGTACATAGCACCATCAATCATGGAATTTCTGGATTCCCTGGGTCAGGACTCCCTCCTGCACAAGCCCCTGGTGTACATAGCACCATCAATCATGCAACTGCTGGATTCCTGGGTAGGACTCCTCCTGCACAAGCCCTGGTGTACATAGCACCATCAATCATGGAATTTCTGGATTCCCTGGGCCAGGACTCCCTCCTGCACAAGCCCCTGGTGTACATAACACCATCAATCATGCAATGTCTGGATTCCCTGGGCCAGGACACCCTCCTGCACAAGCCCCTGGTGTACATAGCACCTTCAATCATGCAACTGCTGGATTCCCTGGGCCAGCTTTTGGAGGACCCACTCCCACCAGTCCTGCAACACCTTCAGGACTTCCCCCTCCAGCACAAGCCCCTGGTGTACATAGCACCAGCCATACTGCAACCTCAGGCTTCCCTGGGCCATTGGTTGGGGCACCCAACAGCATCAATCCTGCACCCTCAGGATTCCCTGGGCCAGCTTTTGGCACACCCAACACCACCACTCCTGCACCTTCAGGATTTCCCGGGTCAGCTCCTGGAGCCCCCAGCCTTGTCAATCCTGCATCTTCAGGACTCCCTGGGCCAACGTTTGGAGCAGCCAGCAATATCAACCCTGCACCCCCAGGATTCCCTGGGCCGGCTTCTGGAGCACCCAGCAACACCAATTCTGCACCAGCATTCGGATTCCCTGGGCCTCCTGTTGGAGCACCTGGCACCAACAATCCTGCGCCATTCGGACTCCCTGGACAACCATTTGGCACACCCAACCTAGGACAAGGTTTTCACCCTCACTCTGGATTCCACTTCTCTGGAGCACATCCAGCCCCCTGGACACCTGCACATGGACCACCAAGCATGTTTCCAACAGTGGACACTGCTCCAAGAGCTCAAACCAGTAAGGACAGTGCCTTTTGGCACTTTTCCATGCCTTGCTTCAGTGGATGGATGGGCTTCCCCACAATGTTTCCCAACCCATTGGAGAGTGGCATGCCACGATTCCTCCCGATGCTTGCCAAGCTCCCAGCGGGCAGTGCAGAGCTCAACAGCTGCTTTCAAAATGGAATATCCCAACTCTCTGGAACTTTGGAAAATCGCCAGAACTTTCAAAGTTTCAATTGGTCCCCTTCCCTCAAGAAGGAACTCAACACTATGAGCTTCAATCTTGATGATTTGCAGGCGGATTGGCACAAAGGACTTGGCCCAGGCATCGCTATGAGCAGAGATCGCGACGCTGTCACCCGCAGCAAACGACTCCACTCTGAAATTGACGAATATGGAGGTCTCGGCTTCAATCTGGGAAGATTGGACACCCAAAGGTTGCAAACCCCAACCCCATCTGTTCCTAAGGACTATGCCTCCTTTCTACAATTCCTCGTTCGGTACAGCCTTATTCTTCGCGAATGGATGACACAAAACTGCAACCTCTATCAGATTACCTGGGCTCTCTATTTGGAAATCCTTGCAACCAACCAAAATGCATCATATCCAGAACAATGGTATCAGCGTCATGGACCCTTCATCATCTGGAAGCTCATCACGCCATCATCAGCACAAAGCAATTCTTTAGCAACGCCGAACAACATGAACACACCTATCAGGGTTTGGACATACTCCAGATCCACAAAGGTTTGCTCAGGAATCATGTCGCGAATGCATCAACTTGGGGCTGTTGAAGAATCCCCGTTTCAGCTTTGCAGATGAGTAACACGGAGTAGGCACTTGCCCGGCTTCCCGCAGCTGCTGCGGAACCACATCTGCTCAGCATGGGAAGATTCCCAACACCGGCAGCTCACTCACTCTAGGGCAACGCGAGACAGACAGCAGCAGCAACCTATTGATCACCGAAACCCAACTCCCAATCGCTCAATTGGTCCAATTCTTTGGAATCTCCAACAGGATCACCAAATAATGACACTACAAACGTACAGTCAACTTGTGCCAAGCGGTGGGCACAACTTTGTCTGAAGTTCTTACAAGTTTGGGTCTTGAGAGAATGATTGCGCAACTACTACCTCCGTGGAGTGTGCAGGCGCAACTTTTGCCGTAACTCTCCATGGTACTAAACCATAACCGCGGATGGCCTTCAGGCTTTCTTGAATCGCCTGATCCTGCCCTCCCCAACTTGCGTTGCCGGGCACCCCCTCAGCCAGCCTGAGATTCTGGCACCAAACGGTACATTGATCACCAACA